GTTGGGACTTTGTCTGCGGGGGCTGCCAGGTGGGAGTCGCTGCCGCTGCCGCTGCCGCCGCCGCCGCCATCGTCACCGGAATCCGCCCTCACGATTTGGGTTTTTGTGGCGTTCAATCGAAGAGAGAGGGGTTTTGGAATATTTGCTGGCGCAGAGAGAGAGAGAGAGAGAGTGAGAGAACGACACCGCTTTTTAAATGAAACGCAACACAACGTGTTGAAGGTTCGCTCTCGAGCACACTCGCAAAACAATACAAATAACTTTTCGCTCTGCCAGCAAGGAAAAGATACAATGCAACCCTCTCTCACTTCACACTATTGCGTCTTTTAGGTTGGGCCTTTGCTTCGTTGGGCTATAAGAGGAAACAAATATCAAAATTAAAATAAATATTGAAAAGAAAAAAAAAAACATTGAAACATAATAATTCATAAATCATATTCTCCTTGTCATCATCGTTTCACTTTAATCCACAGAAAACATTTCTGGGGCAGTCTTGTTATAATTTCACGCAAAGTTTAGTAAATATAAATATTAACATTAATGTTGATGTTGATGCACGTTCATGAAGCTTGAAAATACAACAAACAAATCAATCCCTAGTGGCACGATCTGGCTGTAATTGTAGAAGGTATGGTCATTACGTTTCTGATTACGTGTTTTGCAATGCTTTGAACCCATACATTCAGCTTGTGTTGGGGAAGGAATAAATCAAATATAATACCTAATGATGGGTTGTGTCCTTAAGCAAGAGTTATGGATGGTGATAATTTGTTACTAGTAATTTAAACTTTCATTACTCGTCCATCGCAATATAGCTCTCATGTTTGGGTAAATAAAATCAAATTTATTTACCATTTCCCTGTAAAATTAGTGTATATCTAACGATTTGGCTATACAACATATTTAGTTGTTACATGATCATACTTATATCATTGACTATTTCATTATAAAAATATATATTTTTAAATCTAGGGTACATGATTACTCCACTGAAAGTAATCATATTCAAGTTTGAAAAAATCAATATGGCAGGATTGCTTTTTTTGACCCGGGTCTTTTTCAGGAGATAAAATTCAATTTGAAAGTTTGTTTAAGAAGAAAGAAGTATATCACAACCTAAACTAATCACATTTGATTATCAAAAATTGTTGAACCAAGTAAGTTGCAGGGAAATTTATCAAACGTCACACAAGTTTAACCATGTAAGTCAAACTAACATTTCAGAGATCACAAAAACACAACTCATGAAACAATTTTCTCCCAATATAATAAATGGCATTATCTAGCATCAATGGATACCCCTCATATAAAATGTTTATACTTATTACTATTATAGATAACAAAACGAATCAGTTTAACTTATTTAAATCTGCTAAAACGGGTCGGATCGGACTGGTCATCAAAAGAAATGGATTGGATGTCATGACTCATCCTATCAAAGGGTGGGTTGACAAACATGTAGGCCAACCCTCAAAAAAGATAAATAAATAAAAAGAGAAAAGAGGAAAAAAAAGTTTACAAAAATTTATTTAAATTTGCAACATCTAAAAGAATCACATAAATTAGCATAAATTAGTGTATATAAATAATAAAATAATTCTCAAATTATCATAGATTTAGTTTGATTTGTTGTACAATAAATTTTAAATTTGTTATATAATAAAATAGATATGTAATTTATAATATAATAATAATAATAATTTTTCCAACAAATTTGTTGCAAAAAAATTTTAAATTACATATAATAAAATAAATCAAATACATGACACATTTATTACATAATAAATCACAAATTACTCATATAATAAATCTCATGAGACTTATTTAACTTAAAGTTAAAAATAAAATAAAAAAATTAAATTAAAGTTAAGCAGGTTGATGAGCCAACTCATCTTAATTTGGTTCAACAAATTGAGCATGAGAAACTAAATAAATTAAGATATTTAATCCAACTCGTTAATTTTTTATGGGTCAATGTATTGATTTGTGAGTTAAATTTCTTTAGTCATCCCTATCGACCAATCTATTTCATCACAAAAATCTATTAGAATGAATTGAGATTGCATGATGTATCTTATAATAAAAATTTGAACTTCTAATCAACCATTTTTCCCACTAAAATAGTGTGTTTATGACACGTTATCAACATTAGTTTATTATTATTTTTCGAATCAAACTAGATGAAAAATTAGTGTGTATTTGATGTTTTATTATGTTAAAGTTGATTTACAGTCATAAAAGTACAACGTGTTTCACACCTCAAATAGTCGAATATGATTTTTCATTTAAATCGTAATTTTTTTAAGTTAATAATTATAATTTTCACATCTTAAATGTCATTATTATATTCTCAATAAAGTTTTAAACACGTTAATAAATGCTTTTAACTTCAAAATTTTAACATTTTAATAAATAAAGTTGACGTGATACTAAAACATGCATTCAATATTGCGGCTTCTATTACCACGTGGGTGAATATTTGTAAACCAAACATGTAATTTATCGATGAGAGAAGCGTAAGATTGTTTGTTTATTGAGACATGAATTGGAACTCCTAGTTAAGGAGAACCAACAACATAAGTTACCTAAAAATCCAATGCCTTACATAGAAAGCTAGAATTGTCCTGATTCACATTTTCAAGAAAAAGAAATAATAATGTATTTGGATGGAGAATTTAAATAGAAGAATTTATTTATTTAAAGAATTTTAAATTCTTTGAGGTGAAATACCTTGTTTGGTTGAGAAATTTATAAGGAATTTGAAATTCAAACATTTGTAAAGTTTCTTGAAATAGTAGAATTTCAATTCTCCCAAAAGAGAGAATTTAAAATTTCTCATATTTTTTTCTTCTTATTTCACTTATATATTTTATCTTATCTCTTATCTTTTCATGATTTTAATTATTGAATATTTAAAAATATATTTAAAATTATTAAATATTATCTAATATTAATTTTTAAAATTATTAAATATTTAAAAATTAGCTAATATTTATTTTTATAAAATTTAATTTAAAAATCTCAACATATAAATATATTTTTAAAATTAATTTTATCATGGTGGAATTAAATTATCATATCAAACCTAACAATTTAAAATTTGAGAAATTTAAATTAATTTATTCAAATAAAATATTTTAAAAATGATAAAAATTAAAATCAAAATATTTCAAATATCAAAAATTTAAAATTCCTTAAATTTATAAAATTCCTCATTCAAACACACCATAAAGCTTGGATTTATTATTATTAACTTTTGATCCAGATATAGAAGGAATAAAGCAGATCCTTAACCACATCCACATGATGCTCAAAACCTCTGGCACCAATATTTTATCATCAGCAAAAAATAAAAGATATCCTTGGTCCATTTCCGCTCATAAATATCTGAATCCAATTACGTGTATTCCCCTTATCCAACATGCAATGTGCAAATCTTTCGATACAAGGGTGAGACAGAGTCACCTAGGCTAATGCCTCTATAAGGGAAAAATTGATCTTCCCGTTTTTAAACACACGGCTAAGATTTGCAGTGATAAACAATTTCAATAAATAAAAAACAAAAAATCTCTGTCCATGCAATAGCTTTATTTTTCTAATTTTTTTAACCAAAAATGTTTTTATCTTAAGCACTTTGAATTCTTACAAAACAATTATTTAGTCCAATTGTGTCACTGACTTCAAACTACTGTTTTGAAAATCAGATTGATAATTGAATAATTTGTTTAATGGCAATTGAACTGAATTAAATTAAACATTTTTAATATTAATTATATATTATACAATAGGCTGGCATAAAATAAAAAAGACAGGTAAAATCTTAGGATAGTGATATCAAATGAATATATTATGTCAAGTAAATTGAAAACAATCTAAATAACAAGAATTCATATCCGGGCATATATAATTCAATATTAGGCATATATCTGATCTAAAAAAATATTTTTATCGCCATAAATTATATTTAAAAAATCAGATCAAATTGATTCTCTACTTGGGATATTTAAAAAAAAAAAAGTTTTCTTCCACTGGTTTTACAAGCAAACTATTTAAAATGAAATGAACTAATTACCCGATTCGTTTGAAACAAGCATGGCTACAGTCGTCACTGATTAATAACAACGCCTCGAGATGTAGACACCTCGGAAAAGGATGTGTTCCGTCTAGACAAGTACGTTTCTAGTTATTGTCCAACTGAAAGTGTAATTCTCTCAATTATGTCCGGTTTTGCTTTAATTTCATGGCTTCAAAAAGTTTTCGGTAATTGTCTGACTAAAGTGTAATTCTCTCAGTTATGTCCGCTTCTGCTCTAGTTTCATGGCTTCAAAAGTAATTGGGTTGGTTTTGCACTACACCTTTCAAGTTTACCTTTCACACTTCAATACATGGATTATTTAATATGTAAACTAGAAAAAACATGCAGAGTGATGTCAGTGACCAGTGTAAATGACACTTTTAGAAAGCTTTGTAGTTAACACTGTTGATCGGACAAGAATGAGTGTTGATAAATGATGATGATAGCACACATGCCACAGCTTCGGTACTTGAGCTCACGTTCTAATGCTGCTATAGCATTTATACAACTTATTTATTTTTCTTGCAAAACATTGCAGACTGAGAAGAATCATCCCAAGGATTCTTCTATGTCCAATTCCAGGCAAACTTACTATCGCAATTGCACTTTATAGCACTTCGTCCAGCACGTTGAGAGTAAGCTTTACCAAATGTGTGTTCTTGGAATACGGGCTTAATCCGAGTTCCATTCCCATTTAAGTGCTGTGTGACAGACAGCACAGTGAATTCCAAACAGATAAGCAGGCATGCGAGACTTTGATTGAGACTAAAATTTAATGCAATGGTGGGGAATCAATGATCTCTAACTTTCCGTCTGCTTGCACAGTAGCAGTATTGGATTTCTCTGTTTGCAACCCACAACTGATACAATTTTCTGTTTGCAACCACAGTAGTAGTAGCATTTGGCAAGACCCCAGATGACAATAAAACCACGACTGATTCGATTTTCAGTTTACGGTTTTCATCCAAAGGAAATTTTCTGGAATTATATCACCAAAGGTTTTGCAGACTCCTGAGAATCAATCAAGCAGAACAAATCAGCTAAAGATCAGTTAGCAGTAACACACACTAATACAATCCGATTCATAAGAGACCATTTTATTGATTATAAGACATGGATTTTTTTAAGCAATAACATCCCTAGATAGATTGAAATTAACTCTATAGATGGAGTTAATATTTTGGTCAATTCAACCCTGCCTATTTGGAAATGGAGATGTTTTATAATGCTCTCGTACATTTATTGTCAGATTTGATTTATATTTAAAGAAAAACAACTTTAAATATTCTCTACCTTATTTTATAATCAAGGTTGAATCAGATCAATTTAACATTCAAGAACCCAACCAAAAAACACTGTATGTAGGAAGAGTCAAATTCTTTTCTTTTACTTTCTTAACCTGATGTAAGAACAAATAAAATGAAACTGGGGAAGAATTCATTTCATTTGCACAATTGCACAGTATGAAAAATACCCCTCCCAAATAAATAAAAAAATGGTTCCAGATAAGACGAAGGCAATGAAAGCGGTCATTCTGCCCCGTTACTTGAGGCAGCTCGACAACAGTCCTCTTATATATGTTCAATATCAAATAGAAACTATAATTTATAAAAAAATAAAAATAAAAAAAACAGACATGAATTTCAGGAAACAAACATGTATACTTCTCCAAACAGAGTTCGTAACCAAGAAAATGATCAACATATAAAGAGATACCCCTCTCTATAACCGCTTTTGATTTCCACTTTCAATTTAACCATTAAACCCCTTCAATTGCCTAGGAATAAAAAATTAAGAGTTTTTTTATGTTTTTTCTCACAAGATTAGTAATCTCTTTACACTCTTTCAATTACTATCCACTTCATTTCTTCTCTTACTTTATTTTTATTTTCTAAAAACTCCAACAAATCAGTAAACTCCTCACTACCCACTTCATTATTTCTTTTTTTATTTTTGTTTTTATTTTTTAAAAATAATTAAGAGACACGAAGTGCCTCTTCCCCTACTAATTTGAAAGTAAGGTAGTCACACACGTATAAATAACAAGTGATTCACAGTAATTATCCCTCCACACAATATTGTTTATACACACATATGACACAATCAATAATTTCCTGGCTACAATCTTGTATTAAATAACAGTAATTCAGAAGTGGGTTTTATCGGAAAGCCAAGAAGTGATTAATTTATAACTTATAAATGAACCCTCATACTATTTCAAATTCAAAGCTAACTCGACACATATTATATGATAACAAAGTTGTGACAAAAAGGTCATACATTACAAATTTTACACCAATAATTAGTTTGGTCAGACCATTTTATGTCATCTAAAGTCTTAACTTTGTATACTCTCCACTCTCAAGTCAATTTGAATTGAGCTAAAATTTGGGTAAATGAAACAACATAACATAAGCTTTCTATAGCCACTGAAAACACCCTGTATGGGCCAGTATAACAATACGCAGATTTTAGGTTTCTGCATACAATTAGAAATCTACAGAACTGAACCACTTCAACGCAAAACTAGGAATGAAAAAGAACTCTCTTAAGTCTGAGCTCTGAGGTTTTATACCCACAGTAAACTGAACATGGTAAGCTTTCTAATAAGATAAGGATGGTTTAAAGCCACAGTAAACATATGTTCTCTTGAATACTACTCCACATTTAGTATGTCTCGATACAAACACTCTGGTTGACAGATCACTAATGATGGATCAGTAACAGCAATGATAATTTCAGTACCTATAAATTAGAATTGAGGATGACCTTGCCAAATAATTGAATCTTATGTTTACCATTCTGACAGCATCATCTTTGCTTTTCTGCAGCCTGCACACGGATAGAAGTAAGTCAAGAAAACTGGTAGGTTTTAAATGACAGATGTCATAAAAAGATTGGGAGGTCCAGAAACACATATTAGAAAGAGAAGAGCAGTTTATTCATCAAAACTGAAGGAAATACATTCAGAACTGACCTAATAGATGCCTAAGCTTAGAGAATTATAAGCTTAAAATTTTTACTCTCCTTTCAGGTCACTTATCAGAGTCCAATGAAGTATTAATTTTAGGAATAATTGAACTTCATTACAATAGAATGGCAACACCAAATAAAATTAAAATAGAAACACTGGGTTCTGGGATTTTATCCATGAGTAGCTCTCAACCATTCAAACATCATAGGTACTAGTGTTTTTGAATTGAAAACACAGAATTCATTTCTGAAGTAGCTACTTTCTGATATATGGAAATCATAAGTAGATCAATAACTACCCCTGAATTTGATTAAAATAAAGCACACATACTGCATATCCATGTTTTGGACAATGAACAATCAATAATTAAATATCCTAATTGCCTAAAAGTTAAAATTTGATGCACTGTTAATGTAAAAGAGTTTCAAAACACATATAATTAAATGATGCGGCAACATCTCATTAAGTTACACAGAGTGCATTCAAATAAATTTGAACTTAAGAAAACTATTACAAAATTGCAACATCCCACTCAAGATGCTTTGATAACCATTTTCACTATACAACAAACAGAAAAGACAAAAAGTTTTATCACAGGAAGTGGAAATTGAAATGAAGGATAATGAAACCAAAGTCGTACTTTAACATCATAAAACTAAGTTCAAGCAATTAAAAAAATATACATATAAAACCTTATATTTATCCACACAATACAAGACCAATGAAGTAATTTAAATCAAAATGCTACCAGACTAAAATGCTAGAACACAGCCATCTTAAAAGCAATTTTAAGAAAGGGCACACGAAGAAAACAAACCTTTTGCAGCTTCTTCAGAACAGAATCTTCAAAAGCTTGATACCCAGCCCCGACTAGATTACTCATCCTTTCAGTTTCAGCAGACTTCGGAACACTTGAAGTATCAGCAACGGTGGCCGGTTTAAGAGGTAAAACCAGCAATGGATTAGCAAGATGACCAATCACACTCCCAATTGTAGCAACCTGGACAAAGCCACAATGATAAGTAAGTAAACCACAAATTATTGAACGAATCAACACAATTAGAATAAACTCTGTTTTCAATGTTTTGATTGCAATTTTTATAATGTGGGAAATTACAGGCAAATATGACCACATCACTGTCAGAAAAAACAAAACCTAGATACAGTAATATATGTCCTATTGGTGTTGTTATCCAATTTAAGATAGAATTCACCTCTATAATATGGATAGATGCATTAAATGTAAATATATATTAGTAAAACTCCAATTCTAATTAGATTCTAATTAGAGAACATCACCCACATTACCTAAGTTTTGTCCTTTTTGAAAACTTAGCTTTATAACAACCATTGAAAAGAGAAACTTACAGCTCCTTCTTTAGTGGCCATAACAACGAGCGCGGAACCCTTCTTCTTACTCCCTTTGATGACAACATCTTCCACTTCACCAAACTTCGAAAACAACTCCCTCAACTTATCAGCCGAATAATCCTCACCCACCTTCTCCCACGAAACCTTCAGAACCTTCTCCTGATCCACGCCACCTCCTCCTCCACCACCACCGCCGCCGCCGGAACCGGCGCTCTTCTTCTCCGGCACCGCCGCCTCCTTCGTCCCGTGCATAGCCCGAATCCTGGCGATCTCCTCCTTGAGCTGCCTGGCGATCCTGGCCTCCTCCTCGCGCTCCTTCGCGGCGGCGTCGGGGGCGGTGGCGTCGCGCTCGCGGCGCTCGAGGTCGGAGACCATCTTGCGGCGCTTTCCGTCACGCTGCGAGTGTCGGAGCTCTCGCTCGCGCTTGACGCGCAATAGGTCGTGGAACAAGTTGCGCGCCTTGTCATCTCTGAGGACATCGTAGGATGTTCGGAGCTGTTGGAAGTTGGCGGCGGCGTTGGCGTCGTCGGGCCTCTTGTCGGGGTGCAATTCGAGAGCCTTAAATTTGTAGGCCTTCGTGATTTCCTTCTCTGTGAGCTTGGCGCCTTCTTCGCCGGACGGTAACCCTAGCACCGCGTAGTGATCAATCTCTGCGTCCATTTTGAGGCCTTAAAAGTTGAAACCCTAACTAACCTTATGAAGAGAAGATGTTGCGAATTGGGAATTGGGAATTGGGAATTGGGAATTGGGGTTTTGAGGGCGCGGCAGAGAGGTCATAAAAACCCAGAATCTGTTTTGGGATAGTTGTGTTTAGGTTACACATACACATGGCCACCTTGTAACATGTTAGTGTTTCAAGGGCAAAATCTATGTCTCGCCCTGTCTAAACTCTAAAGTTTCGCTTCACTTATTTAATAAAATAATTTATAAAAATAAGTTTATTCATTTTAAAAATATTAAGTTTAAGTTTATAAAAAAAAAACTTTTTTAATTTATCATGCTAATTTGTTTATCGGGGAAAAGACACATTTCGCATTTATCTATATTTTTAAATAAATGAGAAAAAAATAATAGAGTAATTACTTAAAGAGAATAAGCGATTTGAAATGATAAAGTATAAAAATTAGAAAACAAAAACTAAAAGAAAAAAAACTTTGAGAGAGAAATTGTGAATTATATTTTTAATAAAATAAAAAAGTATATGATCCACATAAAATTAGATACTAACATAATATTTAGTTGGAAATGTAATATTTTTAACCTATCAAATAAATGATGATACAAACTAAATTTTAAAATAAATTTGTTGATTTGATACATGTTTTTTACTTAAATAATAAATATTAATAAAAAAATTAAAATAAATATATTATGTTGTTATAATATTATCAATCTAGAAGTACAAAATTTATTACTTAGTAAGAGTGGTAGAAAATATTATTTTAAACAAGTGATCTTTCAAACATTGATATATTATTATTATTTATTATTATATTTTGTCTTTATTATATATGATCGGTCGAGAGTAAAAATTGTAAAACTTGTCACCCGACTCATATTGTATCAAATTTTGATCGGATTATGTCAGGTTTAACTTAAACACATAAAAAAATAGTTCAAACTCATTGAGTAAATTTGAATCAATTTGACATCACAAATTATAAGTAATGCTTACACGCATAGTGGAAATGGAGCCATGGTTAGAATTCTTCAAAAATTCATTAGATTTTTAGTTAGTTCTTTTTTTCTTTTTGTAGATTAGTTTTTTATTTTTTAATTTGTTTGAACATATGAATTTGTTTTTTTTTTTTTTACATTTAGTGCAACAATCCAATAGGTCATCACACTTATTACAATTCAACTATTATGCAACAAAAAAGAATTAACAACGACAACCTAAAGTTATCATGCCACCATTATGTAAGTTATATTTATATAGGGTAAAAATTAAAACAACAAATATATAAAATCTCACTATGCCGTTCAGATACATTCCATTACAAGTCTTAATTATCGGTCAAATAATTATACAATATCACATTCCATATATACACAACTGAACAACTTAATCAACTTTAACATATTCAAATATCAGTCAACTAAAATCTAAAAAAAAAAAAATTATATCATATAACAATTCAAATTTATACTTTATAGAACTGAACAAACTTATATATTCAATCCTAACATAACATATTCACATCCTTAAATATAAAGGAGAACATAGATTCATAATTTTTAAATCTAATATTGTCATCTCTTAAATTTTTTTGGTTAAAGAAAATTTGAGGTAAACTTTATACATGCTTACACCTTCTAATTTTTATTTATTCAAATATTTTTAAATAAGTTATATATCAAGCTATTAATTATATTTTAATTCGAGTAACATATAAAAATGATTAAATAATAATAAATTTAAAAATAAAATAAATAAAAATTATATTATATTTTTTAGTTTAATAGATAATTCTGACTTTGTTTTTTAATTGTTATTATTTAAGCATATTATATTTTTTTTAAGTTAAATAGATAATTCTAACCTTTTTATTTAATTATTATTATTTAAATTATTCAACTATTAAAATAATATATATTTTAATATATATAAATTGAAGCATACAATTATACTTCAGTTATATATATACATCGTGATGAAAAAAAACTCAACAAACCCAATCAAAATTGATTTTTCTTATCAAATCAAGTTGGGCTTGCTTTACTCTGATACATGGGATGTGATGAAAAAGGTAAAACAATTTAATCCACTTTTACTTATATTTAGTGCGTAAATTTTGCATATATTTTTAAAATAATTATTACAAAAGTTAGTAATTATATTATAAGAATTTATAATTGAATAATAGAGTTAACAAATTATTTTTTTAGCATCTATACTATTTATATTGGATAAGACTCGGACACCTTATTAAAGGGTAAGTGTCATACGTCGATTGAGTAGTATTCGAATATTGGGTAAAATTTATTTAATGCAACAAAGAATGAATGGTAATATATTCTGATACTAATTTTTTTTAAGGACACTATATATTAAGTTTTATCTTCAATCATATGGTATTTTTCATATTCCATTTAGCATATACCCCAAATCAAGAACTTGTCACACTTCAAGAAAATAAGAAGCGAAAGAGTTATTTTTTTGGAAGACTACGTCAGTATACCCATTCTTCAATAGGTTCACTATTTATTTCAACAATAAATAAACAAATATTTAATTTAAATATAGTGTAAATGATTTTTGAATTCAATTGCATATTGTAATAAATGATAAATGAAATATTTATTTCACGTATAACATTGATTGTGTTAATTATATATTGGTTATTAATTGAATAATGGAGGGTGTTATGTTCTCTTCGACCAATAATGATCAACATCCACCGCTGGAAAAATCACTAGATTGGAGGGAAACAAATCTCCAACCATGACCAAACATATATTTTGGCAACAAAATACCTAGGCACGAGCAAGAGGCGTCAATGAAGGAGAAAAATAATCTCATCACTCAAAAGTTGGTGAGAATCAAACATAAAGGTGACAACAGATCGTTACCAAAGGTGTACCTAGACAACAAAGTATTCAAAAAACTATGCAATTCATGGCAAGATGTTATCGTCATTGAGTTGTTACTTGTTAGGAAAGAGGCTAGGGTATCATTTCATTAAAGAAAATTTTACAAAGACACGGCGTTTACAAGGAAGGTTTGACATAATGGACATGGATAATGACTTATGTGGTGAAGTTTGATATGGAGAAGAAGAAAGACAAGGTCATCTCAAGGCAGGGGCATCAATAACTTATGACCACTATCTAGCAGTTATATAATGAAAGACAACAAGACATGTGGTACAGCTTTTAAAAACAAAAGAAATGAAAAAAAATTAAGAGTTTTGAAAAGAAACATTAAAAATATTATTTCAAAATTTTCATTAAATTATTGTAAATTTTTTTTCCTACAACTTCTCATCTATGCTATGAAGTACTTTTATGTTTTTCATTTATTTAATGTTTAGACTTTGGAAACCACTAAAAAAAAACTCTGGAAAGTTAAGGGATGAGATGTAAAGTGAGAACTTTTCTTATTAAGGTAGTGTTTGTTTCTGGGGATGTACTGTTTACGAGCAACGAAAGGCGAAGAAAGTATGTGTTTGTTTCTCGTGATTTGGAGCAAAAGAAAGGCGAAGAAAAGTAGGGAGAAGCACTGTTGCTCTCCTCGCACAAAAGCAAAGAAAGGAGGTGAAAGACACGTAGGATTTGTGAAAATCCGAAAATGCCCCTCCCATGCATGTGCCATGTAGCAGAGGATTCACGTTCACGTTCTCCATGGGCTGGTGCTGATTCTCGACGTTGGTTGGCTGGTGGTGGCTGGTGGGTGTTGGTGGTGAGTGATTGTGGAAGGAGGTCCTCCATTGAAGGTAAGTTTGATCTCATTTGGTATATACGAAGGAGCATAATCGATTATGATTGGCCATATAATCGATTATAGCCTTGCATAATCGATTATGGGTGAGGCATAATCGATTATGCAAGGCCATAATCGATTATGTGGCCAAGCATAATCGATTATGCAGGGTATTTTCGCAGCCAGTGGAACCCGAAACGGCCTGTCCAAAAATGCATGTTATGAGAAAAATGCGAAAGCAGAACGGGCCGTTCAACTTTTGGAACAGGCCGTTCCACTTTTGGCCTTTGCAGAGTACTTTATAACCCCAGAACGGGCCGTTCCACTTTCGGAACGGGCCGTTCTGGGCACATTAATTTGTTATTAATAACGATTATTTAATACCGTTTATATATATATATATATATATATATAAAATATTAATATTTAATATATAATACCTTAAATTAAATATAATTATTTAATATTAATATTTAATTTATATATATATATATATATTAAATATTAATATTAAATAATTATATTTAATTTAAGGTATTATATATTAAATATTAACATCAAAAAGTGGAAATATAAAAAAAATAAAGTAAAACATGTTTATAAAATTATAATAATAACACTTTCATAAACATTAATAAAATAATGTTACAAAATATAATTATCATAATATATTTTGTTATTATTATTTATTATTATAAATATTATTATTTTTATTTTTATTAATATTAATATTATTATTTATTATAATTAGTATCATTATTATTTATTATGATTCTTATTATTTTTCTAATATTTATTATTATTCTTATCATTATTTATTATTTTTTTAGTAAATAAACCCTATTAATATAATTTTATTGTAATTATTATTAATTACAATAAATAATATTATACTCATTTTTAATCCAAGGGTAAAAGTGTAAATTATATATTCATCTCTTAAATTTTTATTTTTTATCTATCATTAAATTTAAAGCAAATATTTAAATTAATTTATTTTTAAATTAATTTTTTATAATTTTTTTAGTTAAAATTTATATATTTATCTTTTAATTATAATAATTATAAACTTTTTTTAACCTAAGGGTAAAATAGTAATCTTTCACAATTATCAATTAAAAAATTTATTTTTATCTATCACATCAATCAATTCATTCACAAACTTTCACAAACTTTCTCTACACTTTCCACTCACTTTCCCTTAATCCAAACAACCTCACTTTCCACTCACTTTCCCTTCAAATCTCTCCTTTTCCACTCCCCCTTTTCCATCCTCAAATCCAAACAAAGCCTAAGGAGTATAAGCAAGTAATGCTTCATTCATAAATTCGATTTATCCGAATCAACCCAATTACATTTTTCGAGTTTGATTGAATAATTTTTTCATTAATTGATTATAGTTGGATTGGATAACAAGTCAAGAAACTTGTTATTTGATGAATTCAAATT